GGGAATCCAAACCTTTTGCTTCTTGCCTCACTGTGGTCCAGACACCATTCCCAACCCAGAGAGCCTGATGCATGCCCTTCTGTGCCTAGAGCCCACTTCTCATTATACTTACCAACCAAGGGCAGGCCAGAGAACTCTGGAAATTTAATCAAAACCCAACACCACTAAGTCCTGGGTGGGTCTGCTCTATGTGGTCTTTAGGGTGATCCTGGCCTGTTGATATCCATATCACTATGACACACTAGAACCAGACGCTCCCTTCTCCATTTGAGACACAAGGGAAGGCCCAGGACTAGTCTGTTTGTCCTATTCTAACCACCAACCACTCTCCAACATCCACAACTACCTCTTCAACAGCCCCTTTCTCTTGTAGACCACAGATACCACAGTGCCTAAAGATCCACAGTTCTTGATGAATAGCAATAGTAGGAGCCACATTTCCTACCATACAACCCTTCCCCTCTGACCACAGTTAATTGGTTCTTGAGTGGTCACCTGACCCAAGGATAACTAATCCATAATTGTGCTTAAATGAAAAGCTTTAAATTTCTACTTCATTTGCACTCAATATTTGTATGATCCTGTAGAACTTAGTTTCAAAATTATGACCTATGCAATAAGATTCTTTAGGAATTTGGGTTTAAAAACAAAAAACACAAGAAGAAACAAAGAAAGATTCATCAGTCAACCAGAAGAATAAACTCAAATTTAAAAGATGTTGTGGCAGTCATTCTGAACTGTCTTCCTAAGGGCCATTTGTTTCCCCAACTCTATCATTCCTTTCTGACAGGGGCCACCTCTCCTACCATGGCAAATGGAAGTGCCAATACAGGTTGAGTATCCTTTGTCTAAAATGCTTGGGACCAGCAGTGGTCCCAAGGAATTCCCAGCAGGAATACTGACATATAGATTTTACCAGTTGAGCATCCCTAATCCAAAAATCCTAAATCCAAAATGGTCTGAAATGTAAAACTTTTGGATTTTTAGATTAGGAATGTTCAACCTGTGCTTGCTATCCCAGCCTCCCTTGCAGCTAGAGTATGTACATGTGAATAAATCCTAGCCATTGAACCAATGGGAAGTTCAGAGAAAGAAATTTTCTTTCCTGATTAAGGAGGGAAAAAGATAAACTAAAGAAACTGTTCCCTACCTATAGGCATAGTTCTGTAGTTGTGTCTATATGAGGACATGATTCCTGGAGCCCCAGCAGCCACCTTGCAACAATTAGGGGAAAATCCAACCCCAGAGGATACTGGGACAAAATGATGGGAAGAACAAGAAACTTTGCAGTCATCCAGAGCCACTCACTGAATCTGGAACTGCCCATCCTGAGGACACTTTGTAAGCGATATTTTGTTTATACAATTTACTAGAGAAGCACAGTTGGACCAGGTCAGGACAATGCATGCCAAAGAAGTAATTTTATGTGACAAGCCAGTGTGTCTACAGAGGACAATGGAGCAAACATGCAAGAGCTGCAGACAACAGGAATGGGAATACATTTGTCAGTCGTGGCTAATCCCTCAAGCTTTCTCACTTGTTCTAATTGTGATTCTAATCCCATATGATTCTTTTTAAAATATAATTTAAGCAAGTCTCTGAAACGTTAATGTGCACATGAATCACCTGAAGATGATTTAGTAGGTGTAGGACAGGGTCTATAGTCTGCATTTTTTACAGGCTCCCAGGGGATATCAAGCTGCTGGGCCTCAGACCATTTGTGTAGCAAGGGCTTCTATTTAAAGGACCAATCTGAAACACCCAGTAAGTTTGTTCACTGCTCTGAATCCTATTTCCATGCAGATAAGAAGTACTGTGGAATGTGTGCATAACCAGAGTGTAAACTGACTTTAGGTCTGCAAGACCTAAAACATAGACAGGCCATCTCTGTTCACAATCAAAATCTTAACACCCAGTTCTGATTTCCTGGAATGTTTGTATGAACTTCTGACCCCCTGAAAGTATACCATTCATAGGTGGCTAATAGCCATAATTACTCCAAAAGATTTGTGAATGCATAACTTGTAAGGGAATCTTCTTTCCAAAGAAGGGTATGCCCCAAACCATTGTAAATAACCCCAAAATAAATTCAAACCAAGCATTTTTCTGAGATTCATCTTAAAAACCCAACAACCACATCAGCTACCTTTGGATCAAAAATAATTCTAATAACCTAAAAAATATTTTCAAAGTTGGATCCATTTTTTCATACCATACACTAAAGAAATACTAATGAATTAAAGTTAACCAGAAGATAAAAATCAAACCATAAACTTACTGGAGGAAGATACAGGTAAATGGCTATTGAATCTGAGATTAAGAAAGGCTTTTTAGGGCTAAAAGGAAAAGAACCAACCCAAACAGGAAAGACTAATGAGTTAATTACAACCTTTAAAAATTATATGCCTCAATAAGCACCATATACAGCATTTAAAACAAAGTGAGGAAAACATATGCCGCAAATAAAACAAAGGACTAGTAAAAGGTCATTTAAATACATAAGCACTAAAATCCTAAAGAAAAAGAACATAGAATATGAATAGAGAGTGAGATAGACCCACCAAGGGACTTAGGGTTATCTCTAGGGTACATGGGAAGAAAATGTAAGAGCTATTTTTTGACCTATCATTTGAAAATACTCTATTAGAGGGTTATTTTAATAACTTAAATATATTAGCAAAATACTATATATATATATATATGAACATGTATATATGGGGTATTTTTTTCAGATCAGGTATGAGTTTAAAAGCTTAGAAATCATACAAAAGAATACTAATAAACTAATTTTTTAAAGAGTTTAAGCTCAGAATGTAGCTAAGTGGTAGAACACTTGTGTAACATACATAAGGCCCTGAGTTCAATCCCCAGCACTACCCCCCTCAAAAATGAAAAGAAAAATACGATCCATATATTTTTTTTAAAAAAATAAAGGAAAAGTAGCCTTCCCACTAAACAAAGAAATGCAAAAACAACTGGAAAACATTTTCCCCTATGAAACTAGTAGAGCTATTTGTGTAGTCTTAGTGATTATTGTTAATCAAGATGCTGTGTGATATTCACATCAAAACCTCACAATGATTAAAAATATATAAAAAATAAAACCTCACAATGAAACTATAAACAGTTAAATCTTCCTGAAAAGTGATGTGGAAAAATATGTCAAAATGCTTAAAGATACTAATGCTTTTGAATTAGAGTTGTCAGATTTAGCAAACTGTATGAAGCTTCTTTAGTAACTATTATTCATTGCTTATCTAAAATCAAATTTAACTTAGCTCCCTATATTTTAACTGGTAACCCTACTTGAACTCTGTAATTATACTTCTAGGAAATATCTAAAGATAAGGACAAACATTTCTGGACAAAGATATTCACTGTGGCAATGCCATGTTATAAGTGAAAGATTTAAAATGATCTAAATGTCAAAACTGGAAAAACTGTCACATAAATTAAGGTACAACCATATAAGATAACCAAGGAGCATCCATGCTCATTGTTAACTGTACAGTGAGGAATAAAAACCAGCTATTTCTAATCTATGGGCAGACTGGGCTTTTTGTTCAGAAAGACACTTCAATGAACCTCTCATTTATGTGATTATAAGGTCCTGGACAGAGCTGAGAAGCAAGTAAAATAAGGCCCTGGAGCTTAATGAAAGGGCTCAGAGAATAGTAGAGAAGGCCCCTATAAGGACTCCTGTGATTACATGTGTTATACCTGGATAGTCCAGGATACTCTCCCTATTTTAAAGTCAGATACTTAGAAATCTTAATTCCATCTGCAAACTTCCTCTTTGCTGTGGAAGGTAACATATTCACAGGTTCTGCCCATTACCATATGACATTCTGAATTATTCATTGCCTATCAGCTTGGTATAGATATATTACATAGAACACCAGGCAGATGCCCAGGTAATGAAAATATTGAATAACACATATAATGAATATAATAAAGAACTGTTCAGTGTTCATAGGAAGCCATGGAGATGAAACTGTAGTGACAGAGCCTTTGGAACAGAAAGTAAGCTAGGACATCTGGGACATTGCCTGTCTAATCATAAATGACATGACCTCTGTACAAAGGTATTTCAGCTTCCTGGTTTGTGGTCTCCAAAATCACCCCCACACCCCCAATTAAGGCTCCTGTTCCTTTCCTCTCACTTCTATGCATACTTTCAATTTTTAATCCATTCTGAAGGGCTCTAGCTTTAGAAGACTGTATCTCAGCCTTCATCCTCAAACTCACCTTAGGTAATTCTTCCTTCCTATGGCTTCCCATATTCCTTAAGTCCTCAAATGGTTACAACCCAGATTACCTCCTCAATGGACTAGCTCCTTACCTTACCTATTCCTAGTTATTACTAAATCTCTTAAAGTTGACCTGTTAGTCTCCACAGGGAAGCAGATGGATAACCAAAGCCAAAACCAAAGCTTGGTTACCAAATCTGCTTGCCCTACAGGGAGGGCAGGTCTGTGAGCCTGATCTAGAGAGAGCTGGAGAAGGAAGTTGGTAAATCTGCATTCCATTCTAGGGATAGGAAGTAGTTCAAGGGCAAGTAGTAGGAGCAGAAGAAAGAAATGAAAGAGGCAAGCAGGCTGTAAATTGTGCTGGGGAAAAAAAAGGGGGGGGGCAGTAATGGAATCCATTTGAGGGTTAGAAATCTCATCCAGGGATTGTAACTCAGAAAGTAGTACATGCAGTCTTGGGGGCCAGGGGTTCATCCACTGCTGTCCTTCTCTGGCCCTGGAATTACTCTTCTCAGGACAGAGTGACTGTAGACCACAAGAAGGCAGAGTGTATAGCTTGAGCTGCTTGACTGACATCTATTCCCTTACTGGGAAGGACCACCCAGTGGGAGCTGCCTAAAGCTAGATGGAAAGCAAGAATAGGCTGGAGGATATAGAGATAAGTCAATAGCCATGGCCAGTGGTGGCATTTCATGGGCTGCATGATTATGTTTCCTAGCAATTCCCCAACCAGGTAATGGACCTACTCACCAAGCTCTCCTCAAACCACTCCTTTATGTAAACAGCTGTTGGGCCAGGGATCTGGCTCAGGAGGACAGCTCTCTCCTGAGGAAGCACCAGCATCTCCAGGGCCAGCCTCAGGTCCTCGATGAGATGGAGCACTGGGAAAGGGTTCTTGTAGGAGGCCGGGGAAGACAGTCCAGGCTCATAGGTACCATCAGTAATATCTGCACCTGTTTTAGTGCCTAGAACAAGAGAGAGAGGGAGGAACCTGAGTAAGAAGGGTGTATCCCCTGGTCAATGAGCTAGAGGAGAGCAAAGGCAGTGAAAAGAGAGGAGAAAGGGCTGGATAAGAAGCCTGAAGGATCATTTCTGCCTTGGCAGAATCACTTACAATGATCTGGGGTGGGTATGATAGGAAGAGACCCAACAGAGATGGGTAACAGTCCATTGAGACTGACATATGATGCTAACACATTTAACTTCTGGAAAAACAAAGCCAAACTTCACCAGTGACCAAAGCTTGCTAGTTGAGACAATGTGATCCCATTATTCGGCTTTTAGATGAATGTATATTTTTAAAACAGCATGGTAGACTGTATAGGCAGCCACCTATTTAGGAATGGAATTTCTTCCATTCACATATGGGGGTTCCACTCCTTCCATTGAGATAGATCTTGACCCTGAGCTGTTATTATCATCAAAACATAGTGGTAGTGACTGTGCCAGTTCAAGAAGTCTGACAGTTTCCATTTCTTCTCTTGCCCTAATCTACCATGTAACAAAGCCCACTTACCCTCCTAGAAAGACTGCCCCAACTGCAGGCATCCCAGCTGCAGTGACAGACTTGTAAATAAAGTCATCCTGGGTCCTCCACCTCCAGATGAGCCATCCCAGCAGACACCATATGACTACACCTGCCTAGCACTATCACAATCATGGAATTATAAAGAAACAAATAGTGGTGATTGACTTAAGCCATTATGTTCAGTTTAATTCACTGCAATAGACAGCAATTACTATAATCATTTTGGTGATAGTTTAGTGAGTTGGAATCTTTCTGGATGAGGAGCCACATCTCATCTCCCCATTATGGACTATAAAGTCTCGGACAGCAGAGTCCATGTCATACTTAGTTGAGTTCCCAGCATCATATCCTCTACCCAGTAGATGTTGAAGTAGACTCTGATCAAATGGCCACACATATACTTGAGTGAATAGCTGGAGAGAAAAGAGTACTTGGTTTTCCTCAGAAATCTGGCATATTTAGTCAGTTCTTTTTAATTTGTTATGCCCCAAATAGGACTGATTTTGCCTTTCAAATCCCATCATTTAACAATAGCAACAAAAGTCTTCTTTCCCTAAGTACAAGAATATATTTATCAAGCCAGAATTGGGGTAACATAGTCATACAAAGGATTTCTGTGATTCCTTCAGCAGTAAGAAACACTTTCGAAAACACGGTTTAGACAGTGGAATTTCTAGGGCATTTGGATTGTTTATAAGGCCAATAGAATAAAATATTTGAAATCAAGACTCTGCTGGAAAATGTGAGCTGTACAGCAAACACGTCCACGGGTACACTATAGGTCTGACATCTAATTCCTGGTCCCTTTACTCTTCTAGAAGCCAACTCCTATTTGCCAGGAAGTTTGGAGGTGGGGGAAGGAGAAATCCACACAGAAGGAAACAATTACCACAGTATTTGATTGCCACTTTGTTTTTGAAAATGCGTAATAGAGGGATTCATGGATCACAATCCACAGACAAGTCAGAGGCTCTGGGGAGCTAGGAAACTGCCCAGGAAATCCACACTCTGATGTGTGCTCAGCATTTTCTGGCTCCTACAAATCCAATTTAGAGTTGACTGGGAATTGCCACAGCCAAACTTCAGGGAAGAAAATAAACAGAAGCTGAACAAGATCTCTAATCTACAATTGCTAAGCAACCCATCTCCATTCTGAACACACTCTAATTTCACACAAATATTCATAGTTGTAAATGTAGGAAGGGTCAGGCTGGGAGGCAGGAGGAAAGATGGGTTTTCATTAACTTTATATCACTGTATGGCCTTTGAAAAGTCTCTTCCTATCTGTGGGACCCTCCCTACCCTAAAACATTTGGATTCTTTCCTACTAATCAAAGAGTGTATGAGTGCATGTATGTTTTCTGTTTTTATAGGTGTATGTATATGTATGATAGACTAAGTTTAATTCTTTTGCAATTTATATTTCTTTATTACTTTATCAAAATTAGTAGCCAATAAACTCTAAATGAGGAAAATGAAAAGATAATAACCCATGAGTGATTATTTGTCCCTAAGTTAGTTGTAAGGGCAGTGACAGCAAAGCCCCACATAAGAGCTACTTGATTTTAAATCTAAGAATCAGATAGTCATAGGATAGAAAACTAAGGGAGGAAGAAACTTCTAAATACTACTTGTGGTTTGGGGGATACAAATGACAAAATGATATTGAACAAGAAAGCTTCTATACAAGGGGAGATATAATGATTCTAATTTCTTAGAAGAAAGTGTGGTAATAGGTCCCATGAGGCCACAGTATGTTCATAGATCTCATGTAGTCCCCTTGTCCCATGTTATATCAAGGTCACCCCATGAGCCCACTAGAGTATGACAGATGTGCAGGAATGTCACTTCAAAGAGTAGATTACAAAAGATGTATCATTTCTGCCTTGTTCTCTCCCTGTCTCAGATCACTTACTTGGTCTGGAGAAAGTCAGCTGCCACGTTGTAAAGACACTCGATTCTCCCTATGGAAAAGTCCATGTGGTGAGGAAACATGACCACCTATTAACTAACAGCCATCAATGACATGAGTCCTACCACCAACCATGTAGGTGCACTGCCCTAGGTGGGGGTCTCCCAGCCCCAGGTAAGCCACCTGATGACAGTATTCCCAAGCTGACATCTTAACTGTAACCACATGAAAGACCCTGAACCAGAACTACCCACTGAAACACTCCTGAATTCCTGGCCAACAGAAACTAAAAATAAATATTTGTCTAATATGTACACATATATGGACACACACATATATTACACAATAAAATAACCAACCAAAATAAATCAAATAGCCAAAACCATTCTAAGAAGCATAATCAAGGGGAACTAGCCTATGTGCTACTAAAGTATGTTGCTAAAACTACTTTTACAGAAAAATAGGATTTTTTCTTATTGCATGTGTGTAGGGCTAGGGATGAAACACAGGGTCTTGAGCACATGCTAGGCAAGCATTCTACCACTGAGATATATCCCAAGCCCCCAAAATACCACCTTTACTTTATACCATATACAAAATTAAAATTTAGACAGATAAGCATTATATATAAAAAATTAAACACCAAAGATAAAAAGAAGATAGATCAAAATTGGATTAGAGAAAGATTTTATAGGCATAAGGGTAATTGATCAAAACAATAGAACATCAAATCTAACTACATAAAATTAACTTCTGGAACTATATAAATTAAAATTAAATGATAAATTATAACCTGAAAACTCTACTTGTAGCAATTCTAACAAAAGATCAATATATCCTTTATATAAAAAGAGGGCTTATATAGCAATAAGAAAATGCACACTTTCTTCTCACACATAAAAATAGGTATAAGGTTTTTACCCGGGCAACTCTGGAACAACAAAACCACAAATAAAAAATTAAAATATGTAAATAAAATGTTTTCTCTAGTAAACAGAACTAGAAAGTGAAAAATGACATTTCATTTTTCACTTATGAAATTGTTGAAGTTGAAAATGCAATGACCAATGTTGACAAGCATGCAATAAGAAGGATATCCTCACATCCTATTACTGGACACAAAAATCAACCCAATTTCTCTATAAAGCAATTTGGCAAGATACAGTAAAAACATTTATACTTTTTGACCTAATGATTCTAACTTTAGAAATCTAATGTAAGGAAATATAATCAGACATGCGGCTAAACATTAATATACAAGAATGATATCAGCAGTATTCTAATTGTGAAAAAGTAGGGGGTAAATGACCCCACACAGGTGAATGTTTAAATAACTTCTGGGACATACAAAGAATATAATTCATATACATACACATAAAAAGAAACAATCGTCCAAAGATTCAGTAATGTGGGAAAATACTTGCCTTATACCATTCAATAAAAAGGAAAAGAATAATTTAAAAATATACATAGAAGCATACATATATAGAGGATTCTGTAATGTTAATAATGATTATCATTACTTTTATAGCATTTTTAAAAGCTTTAAACTTGTTGAATAAGAACAAAAGTGAGACTCAAATTTGATATTTCCTTTGCACAGGACTCTAGGTACAATAGTGTTTTGAACGTCTCCATCAGGTGGTGGACAATATAGGAGAATTCAGGCCTTTTTTGAGCAGGCATGAGTAATACAAACAGGTTTTCTCCTTGTGTCCTTGATTAGTTTTCCTTCTCTCACTAATTGCATAAGTGAAAGGGGTGAGGGGCTACTAGTATTTTCATAGAACGATCATTTTACAAAATCATAGACTTGGCCAGACCCCCACATGTCTTAAGGGGAAGTTTCTAGCAAACAGGGCAGACCCAACCATGGATGAAGGTGTCCTCTTCATCCACAATGAACAAACAGAAAAACTGAAAAAGCTAACACCTTTTTATTTTTTCCAATATAGAGGCAATCTTGAAAGAAAATAAAAACCTTGGGTGCTGGAAAGTGAAGCGTGAAGTAAGTTCTAGTTGACTATAGAACAGCCCAGTAGGAAAGACCTGGGCTGGAGCTTCAGGCTGCAAGGCCTCAAGTGAGAACAGAAAGTGAGACCCTACAGAAAGACAGTAGCCCAAGTATTACCCACTTAATGAAGTAAGGTCTGAGAAAATTTGTCCACTGGTAGAGAAACTTATGAAGGACTAGGGAGCCCCTGCATGTTTATAAAACCACATACAAACACACACACACACACACACACACACACACACAGAGAGAAATCAAAACTACAGGCTTACACATACTACAAGTGCAACTTACTACTAAAATCCCAAATCAGAAATCAATACACATGCAGAATGGTTCAGGAATGGTGCAACACCTGAGGCTCAGCATTAGCAAAGGCAGAATCTCCCAGAAGGTTAGCAACACACTGCACACACACTCCCTGCAAGCGACAAGCTCCTGTGAAAAAATTACCATCACAAAGTTAAAAAAAAAAAAAAAGTCAAAATAGAATGGCCATATGCAACAACTA